TCTCCTTTATTTGTGTTCTGTATTACAGTTTTTATGTTACTCATTGTACTATTATTCCTGTTTCCTGTGGGGTTTTTGTTCATGGATAGCTGTCTACTTACACTGGGATAGGGGACAGTTCTCATATCTCTGATTCTGTCATCTTGTTGATGTCACTCCCATAGGTCTTTTTGCTGTGGTCTATTTTGTGCTTTGTTGTTCTACCACAGTGTTGACCATCCTTTTCAGTGTTTCTTTTAAGATTCCTATTGTCTTTATCCCATGTAATGGCTCAACTGGGATTTAAGGGCAAGAATCATTTATGCATCACAGAAGAAACATGACTTTAAGAATGTCAGGTTGGACCCAGAGGCATGTTTTTCCTTGATGAAGGGCTATTAGAAAGGGTTCGATGGCAGAGCTTATTAAGGTCATAACTAGGGACCCATTTTGTTCAACAGTATTTTGTTGCAATTGCCCATTCCTCACCCCAATCTACTTGTTCTTGCATATCGTTGACACTTTGCCAACTACTCAGTTTTAATAGTGATCATTTCTACTTGGATTCCCAGCCTATGAATAACCTTAACCTCTCTACACTGCACTGCTACCTTTTTCACACGTCTCTCTTAACTGCAAACCAACGTTGGTCCATGCCTGCAGGGCTTCAGAGTGCACACATATTATTATATTCTCGTTGAGCATCATGTGCTCTGATAAAATTGACTTTTATGGGTTTGAGCACATTCAATTATTCTACACAAACTCAGGTCCGCAGCATGAAAAGTCCTAAAGAAAGTTGTTTGTGGAGGAACGATGAGTAGAGCCTTCCTCTCTTATTTGTATCCCATCCTGTGCTTCCGTTTCTCCCTTGGTGAGATTTTCACCATTGGCTGACCTTTGGGGCCAAGTAGTGTATACCAGCCATTTCCTCAGTGTCTAACTCACTTTTCTTAAAAATCATTCTATGGAATCATGCCTCGTCATGACAGATAAGCAGTTATAGTGAAGATACTATTTTTTTTCTACGGTCAACATGTACCTCACCAGCGTTTCCTTTTGTTCAGGTTGCTGCTGTGGAGCAGAGAATGTGGAGGCACTGACTGAACAGAACATTTCTGTAGGAGTGTCACAGGCAAGGAATCCCAAGTTAGCCTTGTCTTCCTTGAAGAGCCACCCCTGTGAGAGTTGTGGACTAGTCTTGAGGAACATTTTCCACTTGATTGAGCTGCAGGAAACTCAGCAAATCCATGTACTATTGAGGTGTGGGGCATGTGCAAAACGATTTTTTTTCAGTGCAACATTTCACCAGCACCAGGAGGAGCACTTTAGAGAGAAGCCTTTTATTAGAGATGTGGACAGAATCTCCCTTGCAAAGAGCTGCAGTTTCGACATGTCCCAGGAGCATTTAACCTGTGTGCAAGTTGGGCAAGGCATCCTTACTGGGTCAGGACATCTCCCCCCAAAGGCTACTCAGACCAGGGACAGGCCAAATGAAATCTCAACATGTAAGGTGACCCTCCAAAGGACTAAAAATTATTACATTAGGAAAGAATATAAGAAAGCCATTGGCTGCAACCGCGTGTTTGTTCAGGATAAGAATGTTCATACTGGAAGAGTGGGTTTTGTGTGCCGTGAATGTGGAAAATATTTTAGCAGAATTTCTAGTTTTTGTTATCATAAGAGATTTCACATTAGAGAAAGGCCTTATGAGTGCAGTGAATGTGGGAAATCTTTTACCAGTAGCACTGGACTCCTTTATCACCAGAGATTTCACACTGGAGAAAAGCCTTATAAGTGCCGTGAATGTGGGAAATCTTTTACCAGTAGCACTGGACTCCGTTATCATCAGATATTTCACACAGGAGAAAGGCCTTATAAGTGCAGTGAATGTGGGAACTCTTTTACCAGGATATATTACCTTCGTTGTCATCAGAGAATTCACACTGGAGAAAGGCCTTATAAGTGCAGTGAATGTGAAAAATCTTTTACCAGTAGCAATGGTCTCCGTTATCATCAAAGATTTCATACAGGAGAAAGGCCTTTTGAGTGCAATAAATGTAAGAAGTTTTTTATCGGGGTTACTGGCCTTCATTATCATCAGAGAGTTCATAATGGAGAAAGGCCTTATAAGTGCAGTGAATGTGGGAAAACTTTTATGAGTAGCACTGGCCTCCGTTATCATCATTTATTTCACACAGGAGAAAGGCCGTATGAGTGCAATGAATGTGGGAAATCTTTTACCAGGATCTACTACCTCCGTTATCATCAGAGAGTTCACACTGGAGAAAGGCCTTATGAGTGTCATGAATGTGGTAAATCTTTTACCAGTAGCAATGGCCTCCGTTACCATCAGAGATTTCACACAGGAGAAAGGCCTTATGAATGCAGTAAATGTGGAAAAGTTTTTACTGGGATCACTGGTCTTCATCATCACCAGAGAGTTCACACTGGAGAAAGGCCTTATGAATGCAGTGAATGTGGTAAAGCTTTTACTAGTGGCACTGGCCTCCGTTATCATCGGAGATTTCACACAGGAGAGAAGCCTTATGAGTGCAGTGAATGTGGGAAAGCTTTTACCAGTAGCACTGGCCTTCGTTATCATCTGAGATTTCACACAGGAGAAAGGCCTTATGAGTGCAGTGAATGTGGGAAGTCTTTTTCCAGGATCTATACCCTTCGTTGTCATCAGAGAATTCACAGCGGGGAAAAGCCTTACCAGTGCAGTGAATGTGGAAAATCTTTTGCCAGTAGAAATGGCCTCCGTTATCATCAGAAATCTCACAGTGGAGAAAGGCTTTATGAGTCCACTTAATATGGGAAATTTTTTATCCGGATCCATGGCTTTTGTGGTCATCAGAGTTCAACTGGAGAAAGGCCTTATGAGTGCAGTGAATGTGTGAAATCATTTAGCCAAAATTCTAATCTTTCTCTGCACTAAAGAGTTCAATGAAATGGAGGCCTTAGATTTGTAGGAAATGTACATACTTTTAGTTCAGTCTTAACAATTTTGTATGAAATTCTTTGTGAAGCCTTATTTTTCTCATATATTCAACCATCAACTGTAGGGAGATTCACTGTGAATTTTGCTCATGTGAAAAAAACGTGAGTCCAGGTTGCATTTTGTAATTTAGCCAGATATGTCTTGCCAGATCTATGTTACTGCATATTTCTGTTGCTGAAGCTATTTCACAGGTATCCAGAGATTGCATGAGTCATCATCTTAGTGTATTTGCGGAGATAACTTCTTTGATTTGAGAAAATTAGGAGCTGCCTGAGCTTAGGAGGTCTCATTCTTTTTTTTTTTTAATCCTCAGCCGAGGCTATTTTGCCATTGATTGTTATACTCACCTGAGGATATTTTTCCATTGATCTTTGTTTTTTTTTTTTTTTTTTTTAGAGATAATGGAAGAGACAGAACCTTTCATGTGAGAGAGACACATCAATTGGTTGCCTCCTGCACCCAGTTCTACTAGGGAGGGGGGATCAAACCTTCAACCGAGGTACGTGCCCTTGACCATAATTGAACCTGGCACCCTTCGGTCCGAAGGTGTACACTCTATCCACGGAGCCAAACAGGCCTGGGCTTTTAAAAAAAATTTATTTAAATGTTTTCATCAGGGCACATGCCTGGGTTGCTGACTCCATCCCCATTGTGCGGTGTGCAGAAGGCAGCCAATCAGTGATTCTCTCTCATCGATGTTTCTATCTCCTTTCCTCTCTGAAATCGATACACACACACACACACACACACACATGCATATATATTTTTTAAAATATATTTTTATTGATTTCAAAGAGGGAGGGAGAAGAAGGGAGAGACAGAAACATCAGTGATGAGAGAAAATCGCCAATTCGCTGCCTCCTGCATGCCCCCCTACTGGGGATTGAGCCTGCAACTCAGGCATGTGCCCTTGACTGGAATCGAACCTGGGACCCTTCAGTCTGCAGGCTGACGCTCTATCCACTGAGCCAATTGGCTAGTACTCAATAAAAATATATTTTTTAAAATATTGAAGGCCTTTTTTTCTAAGTCTTCTTTAATCTCGGTGTTCTCTTTATTCTGTCAGCTAGTTTAAAAGCATATTTGGGCTCTACAAGCATACGAGGCGAACAAGTTTTATGGGAGTTTCTAACTTTTCCTATGAACAATATGGTGCAGAAATTAGCGTAGCAATTTTTGTCCATTTTGCATTGCTGCTCACATTTTCCTAGGAAAGACTGTGGACTCTCCAGTACTCATGTGAAGCCTGGATTCTGTGAGTCTAGACGCCAAAGATCACTCCAAAGAGGGGATAGCTGTGACAACTTCAAATACGCCTGGAAGCAGCATTAATTTTTTCTTATTTTTTCAGAGGGTGCCAATACTTTTGATGGGAATTTCTTGCCCAAGTCTTGTAAAGGGTTTTTTGCCCTCATATCTACAATTCTGTGGATGATGGTCACTGGTTGGAGGACCATAGCAGTTAGGGGAGCCATGATTGCTACAGAACCACTGGTCTACACTGTGTTGGAAAAGAGTGCTGTCAACTAGATGGAATGTGCCTTTTGTAAACGTGCATCCAGAAATGTTCTGAGGAAAAGACTGCAGGGTGGCATGTACACAGATCTGAGGATGTCCACGCATGTTTATCTTCTGTGGTGCAGTCATTGTCATTGAATATAATCAAACGTTTCTCTGTGTTTCTGTAGCTTCTCAGACATTCATGTCAGAGCCATTGGTACCCTGGCAGAAAAAGAAAGATAGGACACGTGTGTGTATATAGTCCCAGGGATATCGTTTTGTGTTCCAGCCAGTATTTGTGTTGGTTTGGGTCAAAGTCCTTTATGTTGGCTATATTTGCTATTACTTAGGCAAGACACTTTCACAGGGCATGAGAAGATAGATTGAATATCAAGTTGGCAAACCGGTTTTTTTCAAAAAATGTTGGATGTACAATTAAAAAAAAAATCTTGCACCAATTTGAAGAAGGTTTAATTAGTAAATGCAATGTCAGGTGTAATATTTGATGATCCTTCACATGCATGTAACTGAAACCAGCACCATAGTCACAATACCAGCCATATCTGTCTCTGAATTTACTTCATGTTCTTTATCAATCTCTCTGCCCTTCACAGCTTTCCAAGTAACCATAGATTTATACTCCATTTTAATAGATACCTTTGCAATTTCTAAGTTTCATATGATGGGAATCAGCATTTTTTCAGCTTTTATTTATGTTGCATAATGGTTTGGAGATTTATTAATGATATATTAGCTTTTTTTGGAGTGAAAAGTTTTTTATCTTTGACATTATTATTATTATTATTATTATTATTATTATTGAAATGGAAATTTAATGCAGGGAAGTTGTTACATGGATAACAGGTGGAATGCCAAGCACAGGCAGTGAAGATGTCTGCAGGAGAAAGTCACTAGTACAACACTTGGAGTCACATTGAGGAAATGCTGTTGGTACCCAACACTAGGGGTCACAGGGAGGACATGGTGTTACCACAGCCCAGGAGCTGAGGCCACTTGTCAGAAAGGGAATCACAGCAGTACTGTTGGGTAGGAGCCAAGGAGACAAGCAATCTCTTGAAGTCATGAGCGAAGTGAAGGAATGCCCTTGCTCCCTCTTTTTTTTGTTTTAATTTTTAATTTGCTATATTAATTCGTTTATTAAATATGGTTACTTCTAATTTTTGACTATTTGTAATAAAGCTGCTACAAACATTTCTGAGAAAGGAATGGAGAGGGAGAGAGAAACATGGATGAGAAAGAGAAACATCCATTGGCTGCTTCCTGCATGCCCCCTACTGTGGTTTCAGCCTACATGTGCCTTGACTGGGAATCAAACCCGTTACCTCCTGGTGCATGGGCCGTCACACAAACACAGCCACACCGACTCACCTGCAGTGGACACTTTTTATAATCACACTTTCAGAAGTCTAGTTTCTTGATAATATAATAAGCTGTTGCTTTATAGAATCCCCCCTTTTTTCCTGGTCTCCTGTCATGGGGTCTCCTGTCTTCTTGCAATGGAATAGGTCTCTCAGGAGGACCAGGTGGCATCAGGGTGGGCAGGGTATTTTGGGAGTCCCAAAGCCACTGCAGAAGGAAATAGGGGGGCAGTGATCAGACTCCCCATGCCCTGGG